CATGATCTCAGGAGGTCTTAAAAGGAAGGCAGATGGGTCCCAGCTAAGGGAAGATCCAGCCTGCAGGAAGGAACCCTGGGGTCTGGCTGGAGGGGTCCGTGGGCACCTGAGCTGATTGGATACCCAGCTTTCTCCTAATCCATCTCCCCACGAGGGACAAGTTCCATGGTAGGTACTGCGGGTAGTCATGGCTGCTGCCCCTCTCCCCCCTTCAGCTTTCTTTCTTCAATATCCCTTTCTTTGTTTCCTAAGGAAGGAACTTTGGGACAATGAATGGTCGGGTATGTACTAATGACAGTGTCTGAGCCAAGCATGGGAGAAAGGGCAGGCCACTGGTGTCATTCCTTCCATGCCTGGCCTGGAGCTGCATGGTTGGTGGTTGGCATTTTCTTGCCTCTCTGCTTATTTCTCTTCATCAATCTTCCCCACTGCCTAAAGGGGGTATGGTTTAAATCTAGGACCACTGGGACTTTCCTTTTCTGACTGCTTCTTGTGGAAAGAGCCAAGAGGAGCCTCAGATATACCAGCTTGTTGAGACAGGACCCTCTTTGGGGAGGAGGAGTCATGTGTATCCTAGAAAGGACTGGAGGTTCTAAGCCTCATCCTCATGCCAAAGCAATTTCAGTTTTCTGAAGCTGGCAAAGCAGTTCAGCTTTCTGTGTCTCTGTTTCCTCATCTGCAAAGTGGGGATAATTATAGCTCTTACTGATAAGGTTGGAGTGAGGACAGAATCAACTAATGGATACAAAGTGCTTAGTGCCTGACATAGCTTAAGTATTCAATAAATGGTACCCATTGTTTTTTTGTTTTTTGTTTTGTTTTGTTTTGTTTTTTAGTTCATGGTATGTCAGGCACTCTGCCAAGTGATTTCACACATGTGATCACATTTAACCCAGGCTACAACTCATGAGTAAAGAATAGTTATCTTCCTCATTTTACAGATAAAGAATCTACAGCTCAGGGAAGTGACTTGCCCAAGGTCACACGGCTAGCAGTGGAATGTAAGTACGGACTGTCTCCAAGTATAGGGATGTTTAGGAATAATACTAGACCAAGTATCAGACCCTGTAGATAGTTTCCTCTCCTTTCCCAAACTAGCACTAAAAGGCCCCAGCTCCAGCTGTAGTTCCTCTGCTAGGATTTTTCTTCCCCCTGTTTGGGGTTTTCTTCCCATGGTCCCAAAGTCCCTACTGCCTTGCTTCTGTCTCCTTTTGGATTGTTTCCTACTCTTGGAGAAACTCTAGAGAGTAGGGACCTTTGCAAGCTATGTTTCAAAGTGTGGCAAGGGAGTGGTGTAGCAGAACCTTGACATTGGGTAGACAAACCCAGTGGGAGTACTCTTGAACCATCGAGAAGGACAAGTCTGAGCTGATAACCCTAGTTAGAGACTATGTATTATTTGTTGACTGCTTGTTATGCATCAGGTTGTGTCTCAGATGCTTTGAGAATATTATCCTTAATCCTCACAATAACCTAGCCAGGTAAGGACTATTGTTCCCTTTCTCAGATAAGAAGATCGAAGCTCAAATGGCTTAAGTGACTTGTGTAGAATCACACATCCAAAGTGATAGAGTTAGGGTATGAACAAAGATCTGTCTACTTGTGTCTGTCTTCTTGCTTACTGACATAATACAGTTGGTGGGATGAAATGATGATAAGCAATATAAAAGCATCATAATTGTGAGGACTCAATTACTAAGGACAAGCACCCGGGAGGACACAGTACTTGAGCAGCACCTGGAAGAACAGGTGGGATTCAGACTGACAAAATGAGAGGGGGATCCCAGGAAAAGGAGACAGTTAGAATAATATCTACAATTGGTTGAGGGCTTACCAGACTGTGTTCTAAGCAACTGACATGCATTGTCTCATTTGTTCTTTACAACTGCACAAATTAGGTATTTTATCCCCCATTTAACTGCAATAGAAACTAGAGCTTTTGAGAACTGAAGTCACCTATGTAACCAACAGAGCTCCCAAATGGCGGAGCTGGAATTCAAACCAAGGTGCTCCATCTCCAGAGCCTGTGCTAGATTCTGTTGGGAAACCAACAGCAAAGACACAAAATTGGTTGCAGGCCATGATTGGAGCACAGCCATGGGAGAGTGGGCTGGATGGGTAAAGCTATCTTATAGATGACCTTGAAAGTCAGATCCAGTTTCTATTTGCTGTGGATCAGGGTAAGAAATAGGGAGCCAGTAAAGATTCTTGAATAGATGAATGCCACAATTCAATTGGTGTTTGACACAGTGTAATCTTAAAAGCAATTACTGGAGGGGCACCTGGGTGGCTCAGTCGGTTAAGTGTCTGCCTTCAGCTCAGGTCATGATCCCGGGGTCCTGGGATTGAGATCTACACTGGGCTCCCTGCTCAGCTGGGAATCTGTCCCCCTTCCCTCTGCCCCCCCCACTCATGCTTTCTCTCTTTCTCCCTCTCAAATAAATAAATAAAATCTTTAAAAAGTAAAAGCAATGACTGGAGGTGGAATAAGGGGAGACTGGCTGGCAGACTGACACACTATTATGGATATAAAGTGTTAAGGGCCTGGACTAGACCAGAAGGGGTTGGTGGCAGGTTCTGTGGAGGAGAAGTGTGATTATGTGAAATAGTCTCAGTGAAAATGAGAGAGAGAAAGAGAGAGAGAGAGAGAGAGAGAGAGAAGCCAGAAAGATATAAAAGAAAACTCAGTAGAACTCAGGGAGGGATTGGATGGTTGGGGAGAAGGTGGTATCAAGGCTAACCACCCAAATGTTAAACCCTGGACTCAGAAAAACTTTAGGAATCCTGGATGTAGAAGAAGGGCCCCGAATAGGAAAGGTACCCTGTTCTCTACTGTATCCTCCCTCGGTGCCTAGAAGCATAGTACATAGTACTCACACACATGGCTCATATTACTTCTATGATCTGCTTTATACACAGTTGTTAATGAGTGACTACCAGGTGATAGTAGCTGGAAAGACTGATAGTGTCATGGCTTTGTGCATGAGACTCTGGAACAGGCACCCCACCTCCTCCTCCGCCAAGGTCTTCTTGTGCCTCGATCCTCCCTGCTGAGTACTCTGAAACCCATAATAGAACACTATAGTTAATAGTGGAGGCCTTGCTTGACTTTCCTGCCCATAAATCTTAGCCAGTGCTGCTGACCTGTGGCTCTGGTTCCTGACCTTTGACAAGCAGCTTCCTTTGCCCTTCCTCTCACACCTCCTTGTCTGTGTCTGGCCTGTTACCACTCAACCCACATTTTCCCCAGCAAGGCCGTTCTCCTCAGGACTACTTTTTTAGGCCTTGGGCCTCTAAAGCCTTTCACTGCTGGGATTTTCTGTGGTTCCACAGCGGGGAGGGGCATTCCCAGCTAGGATGGAATCTAGTTTAAGTCTATCCACTACTGCTCCTGGGAGGTAGAGAACTGATTTATCTCACTAGATAACAAGATTGTTCAAAACAGGGCCCCTTATCCTAGTCAACTCTATACCCTCAGTGTCTAGTATGGAGCCACAGTAAATGGCTGCATAAATCAGTAAAGAAGCTATCTGCTCTCTCTCCTCCTCTCTCATCTCCTTATTTGTCATTCTTTCCTCTTACTCTGTCATTCATCTATCACCCATTTCCCTGTAGTATGTATTTCTCTATAATCTCAGATTTCTCTATAATCTCAGTTTTCTCCCTTTCTGTCATTTGTTTTTCTTGGTATCCTCTCTCACTCTTTTTTTTTTATTAGATTTTTATTTATTTTTTCGAGAGAGAGAGCACAAGCAGGCAGAAGGGCAAATGAAGAGGGAGAGACAGACTCACTGCTGATCAGGGAGCCCTATGTGGCACTCGATCCCAGGACCCTAGAATCATGACCTGAGCCAAAGGCAGACTCTTAACCGAGTGAGACAGCCAGGCGCCCCAATCCTCTCTCACTCTTATCTCTATCATCCATCCACCTGGTCCTTCTGACATCTGTCTCTTGCTTGCTTGCTTCCTTGCTTTCTGCCCCTCCCTCCTCCACCTCATCAGTCTTCTCCTCATCTTCTGGCACGACCCATGTCCTGCATGTGCTCTGCTCTTCCCCCATGTCATTCTGCCCCCACTTGCAAGGGCGACGTCTCTTCATGGGGAATATACCAGAGGAGAGGAATGGGTCTTGTCTAAGATGGTCAGTGCAAGAGTATGGCAGCAGCCTCCAGCACCAGACAGACCCTGTGATTACATCCAGGGCCTTGGCCTCAAACCTGTTTCACTTTAGGTACCTTGCTGGGCTGAGCGGCCAGTCTCCTCTGTCAGCCTCGCATTGCACCTTCACCACTCTGTGCTATATTCCCTGGCAGGAGTTGGGGTTCCTTGCCCCCCCCCCTTTGCCTACAAATGCAGGCATTTCACCTCTGTCCCCATCTTATCCTTCTCTTTCAGGGCCTTCGTCAGGTTTTATTTGTATTAGCTCTCTCACTCTCACTCATCTGTAAGCTCTCAAGGGCAGAGACCATGTATCATTCATCTTGGTGTCCCCAGAGCTGTGCACAGTTGGTACATACAACAAATGCTTATCAAATGAACAAGGGAAAATTGGAGGATTTGCAGCCTCTTGTTGACTTGTTTGAACTTCCTAATCACTTGCCTCTTCTTTTCTTAGAGAAAAATGGGAAGACTGACCAGACTGATTTTTTCCCCAAGAAAACTTGGGGTAGCTCAGTGTTTACTGGGCAGCAATACTCATTTCCTCCACAGACACTTACTGAGCATCTACTGTGGTGTCTAGCACTGTTGTTTGTGCTTGGGATACACCCACAAGCAAAACAGCCCAGGGAAGCCAACATTCTGTATAGCCACACCTCGCCCTGAGGATGAAGGGAATTTGAAAGCTGGGAGCTGAGGAGGGCCACTAAGATTCCTATATCAGCTCCTTGCAAGATGTTCTACTTCATTTAAGGGAAAGAGGGGGTGGGGGCGGAAGCTGCATGGGAAGTGATTTCAGCTCTGGTTCCCTAAGCTGACTTCCTGTCCCTTTCTTGCTGTAGGAGAAACGCCCCTGTCAGTAGGCCGCACTCATGGCATGTGGCCAAGCTGCTGGAGGGATGCCCTGAAGCGGCCACCACCATGCATTTCCCTTCTGAAGCCTTCAGCTTGTCCTGGCATTCCGGCTGCAACACGAGGTGAGTCTAGAACCCTACCCCTCAAGATGGGCTGGAGGGTAGACAACCTGGCCATGCCCCCTTTTCTGCTCTAGCGCCTGTTGGATGTTGCAGAGTCCAGAGCGCTATAATGGAAAATGGAGTGGCATTCTGTAGTCCCCCGGGTTCTAGGCCTTGGCTACTTACTGCTAAATCTCTTTGACTTTGGGACAGTCCCTTTCCTTCTAGAAAATATTTCCTTGAAATACTTACTTCATGTGGCTTGCAAAACACCACACTCTCCTGCTTCTCATCCTACTTCAGTGGCTGCTCCTTTGATGTATTTTCCCTTGATTTTTCCACATTCCGCCCACCCCCACCCCAGTCTCTTAATGCAGGAGGGAACCGGAGCTCAGTTCTGGTCCTCTTCTCTAGCTACAATGACTCACTGGTGATCTCATCCAGAGTTCATCAGCTCTGTCACAGAGCCAAAGCCTTCAGACTGGGCACCTCCCTGAATGACAGGGTCTACTTGCCATGAGGATCTCTCAATTTAGTGGCCTGGTATTGCCTGTTGTGAAAACAACGGCCCAGAAGAGACAGAGTACTCTTTCTGCAAAAACTCAGAGCAAGCAAAGCTGACCTTTCCCTTCCACAGCAAGATCTTCCCTCTCAGGAGGAATTTCTGGTGTTGAGGCTCAGAGAAGCCATGCACCGAGTTTGCCCCCAGTCAATGACTTTATTTGGCATCAGAAGACAAGGGCTCCGTTTAGAGGTGGAGGCAGTTTTGTTCTGGAAGAATACACTGAAGCATATTCTGAGCTTGACTCCTGTTTGAGTAGGGGTGTGGTTATTTGCAGCAGGAAAGGCGATAGGGTGGGTGGCAGGTTCCCTTGCCAACAAGGAATCGATGGATTCTTAGCCCAGAGGTCAAGTGAGCAGAGTGGCTAAGGGGGTGAGCAGGGAGCAAGGATTAAGGAAGGCTGATCTGAGGGTCTTGTGGGCCCCTGCCACTGCTCAGTTCTTGCTTTCTGAGCTGTGGCCTTTCTGAGAACAGTCTGTGACCTCTGGGGTTCTAGTCATAGGGAGTTACTGGCATGACTTGGCTCACTTTGGCTTTGTTTATGGGAAATGGTACTTAAAATTCAAGATTGTGTCTGCTCCCAGTCCCTTCCTAGGTCTCCCTGGTTTGGCTTTGCTGTGGGGATGAGGAAGGGATGGGTAGGTGGCAAATCTCATGTTAACACTAGTGGTGAAGAGGGCACTGATAACAATAGCAGTTAAAACAAAAAGCAAAAGAACAGCAGCTACCTCGTACTGAACCTTTTCTAGGTGCCCGGGCTGTGACAAGAGCTTTACATTTATTAACTGATTTCACCCACAAAACAATCTTCTGATACAGACATTATTATTAGTCCCATTTTTTAAGACTTTATTTATTTGAGAGAAAGAGAGAGAACACGAGCAGGGAGAAGGGCAGAGGGAGAAGCAGACTCCCCACTGAGCAGGGAACCCAAAACAGGGCTTGATCCCAGGACCCTGCGATCATGACCTGGGCCAAAGGCAGACGCTTAACTAAGCCACCCAGGCGCCCCTTGTTTGTCCCATTTAACAAATAGTATAGCAGAAGAGCTAAGACATTGGACTCACAGAGGCTTGGGTTCAGATTCCAGCTCTGCCTCTTTAGCACTTTCATGAGCCAGTCAGTTTACCTCACTAAGCTTATTTTCTTGACTGTAAGGTGGGGATGATAATGTCTCACCTTCATTTTGATATGAGACATTGTAAAGTGCCTGGCACAATGTAGGCCCTTGGTAAATGGTCAGACTTATTATTAGTATCGAGCAGAGAACAGGGGGTTGCCAAAATTCTGGCCCTGTCTGGGTCATGAGCCACAGCTGGGTGATCATGAGAAAAATCATCTCCTCGAAATCACTTCCTTTTGCGGGGCTTGCTTCACTCCAGCGGTTCTCAGTAGTATAGTCTCTGGACCAGCAAAGAGTACCAGCCTCACCTGGGAACTTGTTAGAAGGACAAATTCTCAGGATGCACCCAGTTGTAGCACTGGGCGGGGGGGATGGGGCCTAGGAACCTGTGTTTGGACAAGCCCTCCCTGTACTCCCTGACATGCACCCAAACTCAGCAGCCACTGATTTACAAAATGGGCTGGCTGAAATTGAATCAACCCTTTAGAGCCCGCTCTCTGATACTAATATTCTATGATTGTCTGTCCTGGCAGAGAGCCACGTGCTGACTCCCTAAGGATAGTGAGAGGCCAAAAGCAATTCTAGACTCACTGGCGGCAGGGAAACGGAACATAAGCCCCAGTGGAGTTCTTACACTTTTAGTCTTCGGGATCTTGCCCTCTCTTGCTCCCTTATGCTGTCTTTTCTCCCATTTCTACCACATCTCTGTGGTGCTCCCGTGTTCATATCTTTCACTGTTTCCCTTCCTTCCTTTCCGGCCTGATCCTCTTCTTATTTGTGGCCTGGTGCCTCTGGGTTGTTCTGCCTTTTCCCCTGGCAGGGCTGGCCAAGGTGGAAAAGGGATCTGGTCATTTGCCTGACTAACTAGTGTGCCCTGTGTCTTGCAGTGACGTGTGTGTGCAGTGGTGCCCACTCTCCCGCCACTGCAGCACTGAGAAAAGTAGCTCCATCGGCAGCATGGAGAGCCTGGAGCAACCAGGCCAAGCTACCTACGAGGGCCAACTCTTGCCCATAGATCAGAACATGTACCCCAACCAGCGCGACTCAGCTTATAGCTCCTTCTCGGCCAGCTCGAATGCCTCTGACTGCGCCCTTTCCCTCAGGCCAGAGGAGCCGGGCTCTGCAGATTGCCTCACGCAAGGCCCCGGGCCAACAAAAGCCCCTAATGGCCGGCCCAGCATGGCCGAGACCTCAGGAGGTAGCCGGCGTACCACCGGGGGCCCCCTGACTCCCAGCTCCCAGCTGTCATCCCGCCCGCAGGAGGCCCATCACTCAGGGCCTGCCAAGGCTACCAGAGGCCCACCACAGCCTCCAGTGAGGCGAGATAGTCTGCAGGCCTCCAGAGCCCAGCTCCTCAATGGAGAGCAGCACAGGGCATCTGAGCCTGGGGACTCCTCGCAGCAGAAGGAGAAAGTGAGCTTAGACACCATGCTATCCCCAAGGAACCCGAGCAGGTTCTGCTGCTTCAGTGGGCAAGACCAAGTGGCAAATGAGGGCCAGCAGAACTGTGAACTCAGCCAAGTTTCTGAATCCAGCCAGCAGGACTCTGAGCATCTACTGATGGAGGCCTCAGCCAAAGCTGTCGGATTCCCAAAAGTGTATGATAAAGCTTCCAGCGTAGATTCCAGACAGCTCAACAAGCCTTCGGCAGAGCTAGCTAAGACTTCATCTTTTGGCAGTCCCCCACACCTCACAGGACTCACCAGGCATCGCCACAGTGCCCCAGAACAGCTGCTGGCATCCCACTTACAGCACGTGCACCTTGATGCCAGGGGCAGCAAGGGCACAGAGCTCCCAGCTGGGCAAGATGGCCATGAGTGGACTCTGTCACCTTTGCATAGCAGCCACACAGGGAAGATAAGTCCATGTCCCCCTCCCGGAGGAGCCCAGGACCAGCCCAGCAAAGAAAGAAAGGCCAGACAACTGGATGATAGGCCCTTGGGTTCAGGGCATCAGAGCCCAAGCAGTTCACCACAGAGAGAGGCTGATGGACATCCTCCAGAGAAAGGTTTCCAGGACCCAAACAGAGCGTGCCGAGCAGACATTGACCTAGCCAGCCAGCAGCCCTCTGCCTCTGGCTCCCTTGTTCAACAAGCCAGGGACTGTTCTTCAACCACTAAAGGAGCTGGCAGCACAGAGGCCACTGAAGAAGGGGAGTGTGGCCGGGTGGGTGGTAGACGGAATGGAGGGCCCCGGGGCCGCTCAATCCAAAACCGGCGGAAGAGTGAGCGTTTTGCTACCAATCTGCGTAATGAAATCCAGAGGAGGAAGGCCCAGCTCCAGAAAAGCAAGAACCCCTTGTCGCAGTTGTTTGACACTAAGGAGCCTGTAGAGGAGACTGAGGAGCCCCTAGAAAGTACTCCACTTCCTGCCTCTAACTCATCTCTTCTGTCCTCATGTAAAAAACCACCTAGCCCCAGAGATAAGCTGTTCAACAAGAGCATGATCCTCAGGGCTCAGTCTTCAGAGTGCCTCAGCCAAGCCCCGGAGAGCCATGAATCGACAGGCTTGGAGGGAAAAATAAGCCCTGCCCAGAGGCCTGGCCATCCCTCTGTGGGCCTGAACACCTGGTGGAAAGCATCTGAGCCCTCCTCATCAGACTCTGAGAAAACTAGTGTTCACCACAGAGTCCGTGGAGGTCACTGGCGGTGGTCTCCAGAGCACAACCTGCAGCCACATGTGGCACTAGCCATGGAAGGCCCTCCTAACCCAGGTGACAGCAAGGAATTGAAGGCTTCTGCTACCCAAGCTGGGGAGGAAGCCATCCTCTTGCCCTTTGCAGACAGAAGAAAGTTCTTTGAAGAGAGCAGCAAATCCTTCTCTGCATCTCATTTGCCAGGTTTAACCACTCACAGCAGTAAGACTTTTACCCAGAGACCAAAACCTATAGACCAAAACTTCCAGCCAATGAGCTCCAGCTACAGGGAACTGAGGCGCCATCCGAGGGACCAGTCCTACCACTCCACAGACCAGCCATATCATGCTCCAGACCAATCGTATCATTCCCTGTCACCCCTTCAGTCAGAAACTCCCACCTACTCCGAATGTTTTGCAAGCAAAGGTCTAGAACAATCCATGTGCTGCAAGCCACTGCACTGCAGTGATTTTGAGTACCGCAGGACCTGCTCTTACTCCTGTGGCATCCAGGGCGCCGTAGTCCATGACCCTTGCATTTATTGTCCTGGAGAGCTCTGCCCGGCTCTGAGGAAGAGAAACATGATGCCCAACTGCTACAGCTGTCGATGCCACCACCACCAGTGCATCCGGTGTACAGCATGCTATCATAACCCCCAGCATGGTGGCCCTGAGGACAGCAGCCTGGCGCCTGGCACCACCTGGAAACCCAGGAAGCCCACAGTGCAGGTGAGGCCTTGGTTCTTGGATGGGTTTGCTTCCTTACTCTCTTGGTGAGGAGAAAGCGAGGGAGACCTTTGGAAAATACCACACTTACTATCCCTGGAAACCGTACAGACCCTGGCTTTGCCAGAGAGTGGCTTCATAACCCTGGGCAAGCCACTCAGCCACCACAACTGCAGTGAACCCATCTTGAGAGTTAGGTGAAAATAAACTTTTTTTCCTTTACAAAATGGACAAAACCGGGATTTATATCCGGACTGTAAAAATGGCTATCTGAATGACCTTGAGCAAGTTGTGCAACCACCCAAACTTGCAATCGCATGATTTTGAAAGGGCATAAAGGGGAATTTTTGCCTCACAAAATGGCCAATCCCGAGAAAAGTCTTATTACCTCATCTCTAAAGAGGGGAGACATAATGGCTGCCTCATAGATCAGTTGTAAGGATCAAAACAGGCCCAGTGCCTGACAGAAAGTAGCACTTACTCCCTTCCATTTCCTGCTCACAAACTCCTTGGAGCTGCAAACTTTGCACATGTCCCCCGGGTTCTGCTTTTAGAGATTTGATCGCTCTGGTTTCCTAAAGAATAAATCTTATTCCCTTCTTCAGCCTATCTTTGTCAGAAACCCAGGGCTAGACTAGTTGTTGCTATACCCTGGTTACAGCCTACCACCCCAACACAGGCCACCACCATCCCCCAGGGTATTTCTGAGAGGATCCCCTATGTCCTTGCTGACTCCCTACCACATTCCTGCCCTGTGGCTTCCCTGTGTTGAACTGCTATTGCATAGGCAGACACTTATGAATAACTCAGTGTATGAAATTTCTATAGACATGTTAATTGAAAAAGGGAACCTTAGGGGTGAAAGAAGCCTTACCAAAAGAGCATATACTATTCCTTTTATGTAACATTCTACAACAACTCTTCGGTGGGAAACAAGTTCAAAACAGTGGCTGCCTACAGAAAGTGCCACAGAGACTGAGTGGGAAAAGGCCTGAGGGAACTTTGTCACATGGTGATTACGTTCTGTATTTTGGTAAGCGTTTGAGTTACACAGGTGTATGCATTCTTGTGCATTTCACTGGAGGTAAATTTTGCCTAAAAATATTATAAACAAATAGCAAACTTTATTTAATGACACGTATGCTGACATTTTTGAGCTATATTGATGTACACAACTTACAGTGTTCAGCATACAAATGTTGCACGTATTTTGTTATTTATCCTTAGGACTTCATGTTTTTGATGCTATTGCAAATAGTATTGTTTTCTTAATAGCAAGTTCAAATTTACTGTTAATACTATATGGAAATACAATTTAATTCTGTATGTTGGCCTTATACCCTGCAACCTTGCAAAACTCACTTATTAGTTCTGGTAGCTTTGTGGTAGGTTTTAAAAGATTTTCTACATAGACAATCATGTCATCTGCAAATGAAGGTGGTTTTTACCTTCATTTCCATTGTGTATGCCTTTTCTAGGGGAGGGGGGCCTTACTGCACCATCTAGGACCTCCAATACACTGTTTCGTAGAAGTGGTAAGTGTGGCTAGTGTTGCTTTGTTCCTAATCTTGCTCTATTAAGTTTGATGTGAGCTATACATTTTTCGTAGATGCCCTTTGGCAGGTTGAGGAAGTTCCTTTTCATATATAGTTTGCTGAGAACCTTTATCAGGAGTGGATCCTGCATTTTTTTTAAACACTTCATCTAGGGCGCCTGGGTGGCTCAGTGGTTTAAAGCCTCTGCCTTCGGCTCAGGTCATGATCCCAGGGTCCTGGGATTGAGCCCCACTACTTTCCTTTCTCTCTCTGCCTGCCTCTCTGCCTACTTGTGATCTCTCTCTCTGTCAAATAAATAAATAAAATCTTTAAAAAAAAAACTTTGTCTATATCTACTGAAATGTTCCTATAGTTTTCTGTTTTACTCAACTGATATGGTAAATGATAATTGATTGATTTTTGAACTAAGAACCAGATAGCATTGCCAGATTAAATCCTACTTGGTCATGACATAGTATCCTTTTTTATATGTTACTAGATTTGATTTGCAAATATTTTGTTAAGGATTTTCGTGTTTATGTTAATCAGAGATTTTAGTCTGGAGTTTTCTTATATTGCCCTTGTCTGGTTTTCATGTCAATATGCCAGCCTTACCAAATACATTGGGAGGTGGCCCCTCCTCTTCCATCTTCAAGAAGAGTTTGCATACAATTGGTATTATTTCTCCCTTAAGTGTTTAATAGAATGTATCATCAAAGCCATCAGGACCTGGAGTTTTCTTTGTGGAAAGATTTTAAACTACAAATTCCATTTCTTTACTAGATAGAGGTCATTTCGGTCACCTGTTTCTTCTTGAGTGAGCATTGCTAATTCATCAAGAAATCTTTCTATTTCCTTCATGTTTTCAAATTTTCAGGGATAAAGTTGTCACTTTCTTTAAAATACATCAAGAAGGTAAGATGGATTGGTGGATTCATAGAGGAGTGAATAGGGATGGGATGAGGTAGTTTTAGTGAAGTATTAATTGTTAAATCTAAGTGGTAGATTTATGGGTAATTGTATAAACTTGATCAACTTTTTTGTATGCCTGAAAATATTTATAATGAAATGTTGAAGCAAAGAGGAGAGGAAATATAAAATAATGGTTAAAGGGCACTGATGCGGGAATCAGACTGCCTGTGTTCAAATCCCCCAGCTTTCCATCTGAAAAAAAAAAAAAACACAGGTAACAATACCTACTTCATAAGTTGGTTATGAGGATTAAATGATGAAACATGTGTAAAACCCTTAGAACAATGACTACTGGATAATAATCATCTTTGAAGTGTGAGTTATTTTCTCCTAAAATCAAGGGAGATTTTTGCTTAGCTTGAAATGCTTGCTGAAAGAAGGTTCTGCAGGTAGACAGTGGAGAAAGGGGGCTGAAGCTGGGAGAGAGGAGAGATGGCTTGCGGAAGTGGCAGCCCAGAGCTAGTAACTCCATAAGGGAAGGAGGTGAAAGCTGCAGGTTACAGCGGTTGGCAGCAGCAGGTGTGCCCACACCATGCCTCTCATTCTGTACTCTGAAGGAGGGGGGACACGTTGGGCTCCCAGTGCCGGTTAGACCAGCTCAGCAGGTCTGCTTAGACACTAGGCTTTCAGATGCATGGAGCCACTTCCTGCCCATTTCTACCCCTGCCACCTGACCACAAATACATACAAACCCCAGACAGAGGGAAAACTGACAGTATGGGATAGGACACCCCAGTTCAAATGACCAGTTGTATGAGATAAGCTATAATAGGATCCCTACTTGATAGCCAGGGAAGCTGAGGCTCAGAGAGGTCACCCATCTAGCAAGTGGCAAAGCCCAAACTTGGACAGCATCATAGTAACTAACATTTGAGTAGCCACAGTGCACCAGGTACTAAGTTGGTCCTCAAAGCAGTCAGGAAATAGGTCCTGTTATTATGATGATCTGTCTGTGAAACAGCTGGGGGAAGTCGGCTAAAGAGCAGCTGGGTACTTGGCGTCACCCAGCTGGTGAAGGGCAGGTGTGGGATTTGAATCCACGTCCTCTAGCTTCAGAAACCAAGCTCCTCGTTGGGCTATACTGCCTCTCCATAAGCTGACGGAAAAAGCCCAGGCCTTCTCCAGCATGGCGGGATGCCTTCAGGCCGTATGGCTTCCAAACGGGGCGGCAGGCCATCCCCATCTGCAACAAGCCACGGGGATAACTCCCTTGTTGGTTCAAAGAGGGCAGGCAATTTATGGCAACCTAAGTGGCTCAAGGGAAAAAAAGGAAGGTGATATGCTGAGGAGCTGAGAAGGAGGCTGTGAATTGGGACAGGACTTTGTTTGGTTTGGCCACTGCTATTTACTGAGCATTTTCCACAGGGCATGGACAGGAAATCCTGGCTCCCACTGTGACTGAATGAGTAATAGTGTCTTTGAGGGCAGGGACATCTCAGAAGGGCATCGAGGCAGAGCCTGAAGTCTAACAAGTTGTCAGAGCTGCTCTAACATGACAGGTACAGGCAGGGACCACTCTGGTCTTGGGAAAGCTGTAAACCTCATCTTTTCCATGGCTTCTAACATCTACAGCCTCCTATGTGCTGAGTGCTGTTAAGCATCCTCTGTGCACATCCCACTTTGTTCTCACTCCTGGGAAGCTGGCAAAGCTTGATAGCACAGTCTTTGCCAGATAGAAAGCTGAGATTCAGAGAAGTGACATAACTTCCCTCATATAACACAGCTAGTAAGTGTCTCGGCCAGTATGACTGACACCAATTATCTTACCCCAAAAAGGGAGTAAATTTTTATTTTTGTTATTGTTTTACTGGGGCAAAGGTAATACAACTTTGAACAGGACCGGTAACAGCATTGGAAAAAGAGGGAATTTGGAAGATCAGTGAGGTTTAGGAAGGATTGTGCATTCCTGATGAGCTAAGCTCTGAGTTGCTAGATAGAGGGATGCTGAATGCAAAATTGGGGAGAATGTCAGAGGCAAATTTGCATCAGGTTTGGAGCTAGAGTAGGAAGGAAAGGACATTTTTACAAATGGCACCCGTAGGTTGGCTACAGGGTAAAGGATTGCTTTGGCAAAGCCCTTAAGGATAGAATGCCCAGGGTAGAGTGTGTACTCCCATAATGTGGAGAATGTGGCACGTGGCAATTATGCTCCCCAGAGATGAACCCGCCTAAGCCCCTGCCAGCGGTGCTGGGAGGAGGAGGAGGGGGAGGAAGGGCCCGTGCAATGCAGGGGGTACGTGTGTCCTCTCCATCTGCCTCACCCTGGGAGAAGGTTGCAGCAGGAGCCTTGGGCCTCAAAGCTCCCTCAAGGGCCAGGGCTTCCAAGAAGATGCTTTCTATGTTAGAAGAGGCAAGAGGAGTGAGCAGGTTCACCCGGCAGAACAAACAAAAAGACCTCCTTCACAAGGGCCAGAACAAACAGCAAACGTGCTAAACTGGTTTATAAGGTGGTTTGGGAGGGGAGTGGAGAAAGAGAGGGAAATGCAGAGTTTCTAGAGCACACGGTCCAGGTCCCCGAGTGCTCTCTTTAGTCTCTGCATGCCCCCAGCACTTCACTGGGTCTCCTTACAAGAAAGGCAGCCCTCCAGGTACATGTTTCTCTAGCCCCTGTGCCAGAGTAGAAGAAACCAGTTGGGTGTGGGGCATGTCCAGGGACGGGCTCCTGCCCTCTTCACATTTTTGAGGCCATCTGGATACCTGTCTGCTCAGAGCTCCCTCATTTACCGGAATTTTGCCTTGCAGGAATTTCCTGGGGACAAATGGAAACCAATAACAGGAAACAGGAAGACCAGCCAGTTAGGGAGGTAAGTGATCACTCAGGGAGTTGGTGTCTCTGAGGCTTCTGTAGAAATTGCTAAGATCTTGTGTTTGCTTAGTTTCCTTTGAGGAACCCGGCCTGGTGTCCATACCAAGAACTTGGTACCATAGATGTAATCTAGCCTGCCCCCCAGGCAGCTGGGCTACGGACCACTAGGACACTTTGGAACATGGAGTAGTCAGGCATTATTGTAGGACATTGGGCCCACAAGCACAGAGGCCTGCGGCAGGCCTGCCCAGGCACAAGGACGTGTGGGAGCAGATCATGCTGAAATATAGATAAGAAGGCATAAACGATGCCCACCTTCCCAGCAGCCATTGGGCAATTGGAGAGAACAGAGAGAAGGTAAGACTGTCCAGCTACCACTGTGCCTTTGCCTCAGTTGTGGGAGGCGCTTATTTCTTGGGCTCAGCTATCATCTTTTTCTAGTACTCGCTGGGAACTTAATTAAGATCTGCTCCTGAGAGTCCAGGGGCAGGTAGTGCTAATGATAGATTAAAATTCCTGGAAGAAGGTAGGGACATTTTTGCAAACGGCACATATGGCTTGGACTAGAAGGAAAAGAGTTTCTTGGGCAAAGCCTTTAAGATAAAAAAAAAATGCCCAGAGTAGAGTCTGCTCCTATAATGTGGGGAACCTGGCACCTGAAACTCATGTTCCCCAGAGATGAGCCTGCCTGCCATAGGTGGCTATAAGGAGTGGACAGTTATTTTCTCTGGGCTGCTCCCCATCAGCCTGGCAGGACCCTCTTTTTTGTGAAACTCCTTAATATATTCATTTAGCCAGTTCTTCTCCAGGCCAAATTATTCGAGACACCCCTAAATAATATTGATTCTTTAAGTGAAACTCTAGAAATGAAGGGGGAATAGGGAAGAAGGCCCTTAGCTGTGTCTATGTGGGGGCACTAAGGGAGAGGACTAGAATATGGGTCTCTTGACCCCTGAAGAGCCCAGGGTTCTTTCTGAGGGGGTCTGCATTATCCCCTGTGATTTGGTGGAATATTCAGGAATAATTTGGGCTCTCTGTTGACTCCAAAGACTGAGAAACCTGTCAGTTTTCTGGCTGGCGATAAAAAAAAAAGGGAAGAACCCAACATTTATGAATAATGTGTCGGTCACTGGGCTGGACCCTTTTTAACTCACAGTCTCATTTATTCTCCACAACAATTCATTGTATTACCTATTTCATAGATGAGGTCCAGAGAGATTATGTAATTTAGCTGATGTCCCACATCTAGTTAGCAATGGAGCCAGGATTGGGACCCAGGTTTGTCTGGCCCCAAAGTTTATGCTTTTCCCCTTAAATCTACATCAAGTAGGAGCCCTAAGGAAACTTTTCAAAGGGATCCCTCAGCATCATGTCTCAGAAGTCTGAGGCCTGTGCGGGGACATTATGAGATCTGTGGCTGATCAGATCCCCTGATCTGATCTGACTTGTAACATATCCTTGGAGAGACCATTTCAGTCTGGTAGGTCTGCTGAGTTTCCCATATTAGACTGAAACCTTCGAGAGAGGAGAGCTGGTCTTGGCTGTAGACTTCTCCTCAGACTTCTCCTCTGTGCTTAATATAGTGCCTGACCCAGAGAATTTGGTCAAGAGGTATTTGTCATTGGCTTACCAACTGAAGAAACAGCCTCCTCCACCACTGAATGGGTGAAATGACACAAAAATGATAATGCTAACTAGCATTTCTTGAGCACAGTGCTCTGTTGTAGGCACCATTCAAAGCACTTCACAAATATTTACAGCTGACCCTTGAATGACACAGGTTTGAATCCCAAGAGGCCAATTATCATGGGTTTTTTTTTCAATGAATACAATACGGTACTATGAATATATTTTTGTTATGATTTTCTTAATAACATCTTCTTTTCCCTAGCTTATGTTATCATAAGAATATAGCATATAATACCTAGAGCATACAAAATATGGGCTAATAAACCATGTTATCAGTAAGGCTTCCAATCCACAGTAAGCTATTAACAGTTAAGTTTTTGCCAAGTCAAAATTTACCCATGGATTTTCAACTGCATAGGAGAGGAGGGGTGGTGTCCCTACCCCGCCCCCCATTGTTCAAAAGTCAACTGTATCTATCATCATAACCCTAAGGTATAGTTATTATTAGACTCTCTGTTTGACGGAGAGAAGAGACTGAAGCATACACAGGTAAATTCATTTGCCTGAATTTCCACATGTCTGGTAAGTTGACTAGACCCAGGTAGCCTACTTATAGAGATGCTAGACTAACCTACAGTGCCTCTCCAGACTGGTTCTCTTACCAATCAGCCGGTGATGGAAGAGGACTTTATTCAAAATCTAGTGTATGTACTGCCTTTTTCTAGGAAAGCAGGGGGAATGTTAGAGAAAGAGCATCAGGAAGCACAATGCCTGTCCACCTACAGCTTGAGCAAAGGAAGACTAACCCACACAAAGTTAAGTAGCAGTAATAATAAATTACCACTTACAAAACGACCTATGTGCTGCCAGCTAAGTTATACATATTATGTTATGTTTTATATGCCCCCCCAACTCTGTCAGGTTGGTATTATTCTAACTACAGCAGTGGTTTTCAAACTTGAATGTGCTTTGGAAACACCTGGAGGGCTTGTTAAAACACAGACAGGTAGATTCCACCCCTACCCTCCCAACCCCTGCCAGTAGGTATGGAGTAAAGCTCAAAATTTGCTTTTTTTTTTTTCATTTTTCATTTTCATTTTCATTTTTACATTTTACTCTGTTATGTTAGTCACCACACAGTACATCATTAGTTTTGGAGGTACTGTTCTGTGATTCATTGTTTGCATATAACACCCAGTGCTCCATGCAGTACATGCCATCCTTAATACCCACCACCAGGCTCACCCATCCCCCCAACCCCCTCCCCTCTAAAACCCTCAGTTTGATTCCCGGAGTCCGTAGTCTCTCATGGTTCATCTCCCCCTCTGATATCACCCCTTTCATTTTTCGCTTCCGTCTCCTAATGTCCTCCATGCTATTCCTTACTTTCCACATATGAGTGAAACCATATGATAATTGCCTTTCTCTGCTTGGCTTATTTCACTTAGCATAATCCCTCCAGTTCCATCCATGTTGATGTAAATGGTGGGTATTCATCCTTTCTGATGGCTGAGTAATACTGCTTTGTATATAGGAACCACATCTTTATCCATTCATCTGTTGAAGGGCATCTCAGCTCCCCACCCCAATGATAGAGATGAAGTAAAAAAAAAAAGGCGGGGGGCACATGCACCCCAGTGTTCATAGCAGCAATGTCCACATGGCCAAACTCTGAAAGGAACCAAAAAAAAAAAATTACATTTCTAACAAGCTCCACCAGGTGATGCTGACTGCTGGTCCTGGGGTCACACCCTGAGAACCACTGACTCGGATAAAGGACATGAGGTTAGGAGAAGTTATAGTAATTTAGTGAAGGTCTCACAGCTACTAAAGGGACAAACCAGGATTGAAACCCAGCTCTTGCTTAACTCAGATGAGTTGCCATAAGATGAAAAATGTCAAATACATGGTTCAAACAAGAAGCATCCGGCACGTGGTATGGGGCCAATACATGATAAATTGTTCTCTAAGTTTTTTGGAGGGTAAGAAAACTGAAGACTGGGACCTATGGGAGGAAAGGCCCAGAGGGGCTAAGCAGAGTATGTTGAAGAAATACACTTAAGAGTTCTTGCCTTGGAATTAGTCTGCCTGGGTTCAAATCCAGATTCTTATTTTCTCTAGCTGTACGAACTTGGCAAGTGGCTGGTCCTCCTTTACTCTCCCTGTCTCTCACACATATGTGCTCTGTCTCTGCCCCATCAGCTTCCTTATTTTTTTTTTAATTTTTATTTATTTATTTGACATAGATAACGAGAGAGAGAGCACAGGAGGGGGAGTGGCAGGCAGAGGGAGAGGGAGAAGGCTCTCCACCGAGCAAGGGGCCTGATGCCGGGCTCAATCCTAGGACCCCGGGATCATGACCTGAGCTGAAGACAGATGCTTAACTGACTGAGCAACCCAGGCACCCCAGTTTCCTTATTTGTAAAATGGGGTTAGAGTACCTACCTCCTCTGATTGTTGCTAGAATTAAATGACAAATATGCATAAAGCATTTGGAATAAAACCCAGTGCAGTAAACCTTCAGTAAATGGTAGTTGTGACAATATAGATGAAGAAGGGGGAGCAGCAGCAGGAGCAACAGCAGAGAAAAGGAGTGAAGAGTGAGGTTTGGACCAGGATAGGTAGGCCTCGAAAACTATATAGTATCACAAATACAGAAACTATTGAAGGTTATCAACCAGGTAAGTGATGTGATAAATGTGGCACTTGAGGCAACTGGGCTGCCTTTGCAGCCTAGATAGGTTGAAGAAGAACAGCTAGGGTCAGTGATCCAGGCATGAATGAGTATGGCTCTGGACTGGGAAGGTGGAGGTGCAACAGGAACAAAGCAGAAGAGCTAGATAAATATGTGTGATATTTTGGGGAGAAAATGTTTATTATGAGAACTATATTACAGGAAATTAAAGACAGAAGAAAAAGTAGCCTTAGTCCTACCACCCTAACACCCTGATTGTTTTCATTTCCCTACTAGCTTTTATCTATAGGTATAGAGACTTTTCCTGGCAGAGTTATAATAACTATGTAGATGTGATTATGTGTCCTGCTTCTTTTTTTCCACCACTAAGCATCACTTGGTAAACAATTTTTCATGTTGATATACAGTCTTGTTCAATAGTTATAAATTTTAATGGCTGCATATTTCACCAGCTTAATGTGCTGTAATTTACTTAATCATTCTCAAATTGTTGGATAATTAGGTTGTTTCCAATTTCTTGCTATTATAAAGTAATGCTGCAGAAAAATTTTGAGTAGTTATAATCTTTTTCTCATTTTGAATTATCTCATTAAAAACAATTATCCAGAGTTGGGATTACTAGTTGAAACAATATGAGCATTCTTTTTGTTCGTGATAGATTTCACCAAACTGTT